GTTATCTAATTTGTTGAGATTTTCTTTTTAAGAACTATACACATTGATACAATAATAGAGGACGCTATACAAACCAGATATATTTGGTGTTTTTTTTTTCTGTAAAACGTAAAAAAATATATGAAACTAAATTTAGTAATCGTACATATCTTTAACTTTTCTAACCATAAAATAGTTTTCTTCTTTTTAGTAATTTATACAGTTAAAAGGTGGAGATAAAACAAACCTTGCTTTTCTAAACTATTTTTGAAGAAATACTTTACAAAGTAGTCTTAAAAGAGCTGAGCAAAAGAATTTAAACACCTTTCTGAAACTTTAAAGTTTATTTTATCTGAAGAAACGAAGTGCTAAAACTAAGAAAACTGAAGGATAAGTTTAATTAAAGGCTTATAAACGTAAGTTTAAAAATAGAAAGAGTTTTAGAGGAATTGGTGAAAAGAACTTTAGAAAAATTCTTTAAAATCCAATTCGTCTTGAAAAATACCTCCAATAAGTTATAAAGAATAAACTAGCTTTATTATTTCATCTGCAACTTTATCTCTACAAAAACTAATGTAAAATCATGGCCAGGAATCTATTATTGACTAGGGACACAGTATATAGTTTGCTAGTTATTAGTCGCTAGTGCACGGAAAAAATCATTTCTATATTCAAGAACAATCATACACTTAAAATTTTACACTTTCTTTAAGGATAGTATTCTTTCCATGAGTACAACAAATATTTGGAACTATTTTACTTTTACACTTGCTTTTTAAATATAGTTATACTCACTTTAAGTAATTTTGAATCTAAAAAAAGAATAAAATGACTTATATTTAAGAAAAACTTATATTACTAACAAGTGAATACATCCTTTAGCAACGAAGAAACTATTATTAAATGAAGTATAAATGCTTTTATATAATAATAAGTAGGTATTCTTAACTTTTTTAAAACTTTTACTTGAAATCGGTGTATTAAGACTTTAAATAAGTATATTATTCTCGGCGCGAGAATAACACCCCATTCCCAAGAGTTACTATTCTTATATTAAGTGACCATCCCCAACAGCAACAACGCAACAGCGCATTCCTGATTCCTATCTTCATTTGGTTTCTGTTTCTCTTCTGCGACACGAGACGCGCCGGATACTTTATATAAAGTTTTTTTGTTATCGTTTGTGCTTGTGATATGTTAAAATGGAGGACCTTCTTCAGGCATGGGAGATGACGGATTTGGTCCCAAAATTTCAAGGTAATTTTAGCAATAATCCTACATTATTTGATGACATTGGTTTGAGGTTAGGGGGACTCCATTTTAATATGCATTATTTCTTATACATTGGTGGTAAACTAGGTATGTATGTACGCGTTTGGAATGATTCAATTATGTTTTAACAATTTTTATTATCGTTTCTCGTTTTGAGTTAGCGATGCCGCTGTTCAATATCTACCTATATTGGGAAATTACACAGTTTTATTGTATTTTCTTATTACGAAAAGCATATAATTTGGTAGGTGATGTTTGGCTAATCTAATTTAAAAAGTATTAACCATATTCGGGGTTATTCTGGTGATATTTCAATATTCCATACCTATTAAAAATGGAAAACCTCCAACCAATAACCAATGTCATCAAATACTGTAGGATTATTGCTAAACTTACCTTGAAATTTTGGGATCAAACCGTCATCTCCCATGCCTGAAGAAGGCCCTCCATTTTCACATATCACAAGCACAAACGATAACAAAAAAACTTTATAATTTTATAAACCACCTAGTCGGCGCGTCTAGTAACTAACTTAAAAGTAAGAAGAGGCTTTATTTTATAGTAGGTGATATTACACTTGAATAAAGTAATTATTACATGTACACAAAGAATTTCTATACTTAATGCAATAATTTGCTAATTTAAAAATAAGTATAAGTAGTACTCGAAACAAGATTTTATCTCGAATTGTCTGGAGTGTAGTATAATCTTAATTTCAATACTAGGTAAATCTTAAATAAAAGATAAATTTTCTTAGCTTCTAAGGATAAGGTTTCCTTGAAAAGAAGTATAACTAGATTTGCGGAATGGGGAAACTAGCATATCGTTGGTTCAAGATTAATAATCTTTAAGCCAGTTTAGCTTTTTTTCCGTGTGATAGGAAAAATAATTTTTAGAGGTTACTCGTTTATTTGGTTGTCTTTTAATTGTATTTGTCATAATTGTCAACTTGTCTGAGTATATGTATTTCGAGATGTATTTAATTTCAACTAGGAGCGCCTCTTCTATTCAACATAGTCATGGCGGCGCTCTCCATTATAGTGGATAGCAAACTGCAGGAGAGAGGTTTGGGCATTAGATACAGATACGACGGCGGCGGTCTGTTCAACATAAAAAGACTCGTACAAGCGCAAAAACACGTACAAAATTCATCACAGAGCTTCAATACGCTGATGACTGCGCTCTAGTTGCAAAAACGTTACAGCAATTAAAATGTTAAATACATATACCTGGGCATACGAGGCTTTGGGCCTTAAGCTGAACATCGATAAAACTAAAATTATGTGCACTCCCCCGGAAGATCATAACAATGCTATAAAAATCGGAGAAGAATTATTGGAATTTGTAGCGGAATTTAATTACCTCGGCAGTTTGATTTCGGAAAAGGCCAATATCGACTCTGAAATTCAGCACAGGATTAACAGCGCCTCAAGAGCATCCTGGAAATTAAAAGACAGGGTTTCTATAATCATGACTTGTGTACATACAAAAACGAAATTTGCAGTGTACCGAGCAATAAGAAACCCCGAATATGGGATATGGAAGCGAAAAACCTGGGTGCCGTACGCATTAAACAAGTTGCAACAGAGACACCTCTTAAGAATCAAATAGTTAAACCATGCCTCAAACGTATCGGTCCTTGAGCGTTGAAGTCATGATTACAAAATCCCGCTTAAGATGGGCTGGTTACATATACAGCATGCAAGAAAACCGCCTACCAAAAGCTCTTCTTTAGGGTGAGCTTGTGAACTGTGGGAGGAAACCGGGTAGACAATACAAAAGGTACAAGGATGTTTTTCACGAAAACTTAAAGGGGATGAACATGCACAGGACGGACGGACGGACGGACGGACCGACCGACCGACCGTCCGACCGACCGACCGACCGACCGACCGACTGCAGCAAAATGATCTTATAAAGGTTCCGTTTTTTCTTTTTGAGATACGGAGCTCTAAAAACAAACTAAAATAACAAAGACAAAAATCGCAGGTAAAATTTCATATCATTACCTCTTTTTACCCAAAATAAAGCGGCAATTTCAAGTAAAAACAACTCCTCTACCAGCTCTAAATTAGAACTAAACGCGAAAACTCCCTGGAGGAAGTTAGACGCATGGCTGGGTCATTAGATAAGTCATTCTATTTACGTTTCAGCCATTTCCTCTTGGACAAGTCCCAAGAGCGTGTTAATAAAAGAGGGCTCGATGGCACCATGTAGAGAAATTGAGGGTCTTTTTTATTTTGCCAGCAAAAAGAAGTTCCTCCGAAGAAATTTCTAAATTAGTTATTTTTCTGTTACTGGAAAAAAGAGTTATTTATGTACCAAGGGAATTATAAGGGTGGGTCTATAGCCCGAGGGACGATAATTGCCCCAGGTTGATTGGTCATAGCATTTTCGCGCCACTTTTCATCCGTAAATATTTTTCTCCAGCCCGTCAACGGAGAAAGATCGAACGATAACGGACGTTTTGACACATTTTGACAAGTTTAATCTAACCTTAAAAAAATTTAATAGTACAAGAGCTAGCAACGTCGGGAAAACGAGAATTTTAAGAATACTGGTTCTTTAATATATCTTTTGCTATGCTCTCCTGACCAAAGTACGGGCCGTCTGGCTGCCGCTAAACTATTGCGGTTTACTACTGCGTATCGTGTTTCGAAAAATATGGTCATTGATTAATCACGATCCTGCTTAAAGCGCTTGACGTAAAAAGCTGATTTTTGGAAAACAGATTAACTTTAGGGTGTAGAGGTTCGATAAGAAGGGATTTTTGGAAACCCGAATTCTAAGGGGGTGAAACTATCCCTCAAATATTAAAATATTTTTTTATTTAAAAACCGGTGAGTTTTTCGGAAAAACTCTTAAACACGTATATTTTATTTTGTTGTTTTACATATTTTAAGATTTTTTATAAATTTATACAGGGTGTTTCATAAAATCTGACCATTGAGTAATCACGATTCTGCTTAAACTGCTTGACGTCTAAAGCTGATTTTTAGCAAACGATTGACTGTGGGGTGTAGAAGTTCGATAAGGAGGGGTTTCTCGAATCTCAAATTCCAAAAGGGTAAAAACGCCCATCAAATATTACAATATTTGTTATTAAAAAAACGGTTAGTCTTTCGGGAAAACACTTGGACAAGCATAATTTATTTGGTTTTTTTACATATTTTGAAGTTTTTTAAAAAATCATACAGGGTGTTCCAAAGAGTTGGTTAATTTCTTAACCACGATTCTGGTTAAACTGCTTGACGTAAAAAGCTTATTTTTGGCAAACGGATTTTTCGAAAGTCAAATTCCAACGAGATGAAACTACCCCTCAAATATTACCAAGTTATATAATAATATCGCCATATTGTTTTTTCTCATGCTGACATAAATGTGAGAAAATTTTATCCAGTTTGTATGTTAAGGGAAATTCTTGCTTTGCTTTACCATTGCCATTACAGATGATTAATTAGACGCGAATGAAGTCGCTGGTACACGCTAGTTTAATATAATATGTGACATTAATGATGTAAATACATTATTAGAGTACTTAGATGAGTGTCCATTTTCATTTAATACTATCACTCAAAACCTCATAATTGTTAACTATAAAAAGTTAAGGGAAATATGGCATCTTAAAATTCCCGTTCATAATGTCCCAAGAGAGTTATGACTCTACTTATGGTTAGCGTAACCAAGAGAAAATATTATAAGCTTATATTAATTCAGTAAGAAACAAACAATATAAATTCTCAACTTACCACAGCTTCTCTTTCCGCATTGATAGTGAGCGAAGTGAGCACCATATCCGTTTTCCTGTTAACCAAGTCAGCAATCAGTCCGTTCCATTTCCCGTTTTGATTGGTGCCCCATTTACCATCCTCAACTCTGACCAACTCGTAGGTAAAGCCCAGTTCTTCGGAGAATTTCTGTAATAAGTCGATACAGAAGCCTGAACAACACTGGTAGTAACTGCCGTTTCTGTGAGCTTGAGCCATATCAACTCTGAAAACCAAAATATATTTCGTAATAAATAATAATAACAGAACAAAATAAGAATAAAAATATATTTGATTCAGTCTCTTCACTTTGCCAGTCTACAAAAAGTAAAAATAAATTTATGTTTGAGTGGCAAAATAACCAGCCTTTTTCCCAGAAACGTCTACAATATTAAAACACACGATATCGGAATCCAAAGTGGGAAATTCTCTTTCTCTTGACACTTTACCAAATGCAATACGAAATTTAAAACGTGCAGTTAACTGGAGTCGCTGCTAGAATTTGGAAGAGGAATGTCTCCGGAGAGATTCTCTAGGAATTTGAGATATTCTGAGATAGTAACGTGATCCAGCTGGGAGGAATTTTGGTAAAGAAAGCAGCAAAAAACAAAACTGAAAGATTTAAATCGATTTTCTTATAAAAATTATTGCTGTGAAATACGAATCGAAGAAATTACTGCACACTAAAATAAAATAAATAATCAAACAGAAATAAAAGGTGATCAAAAATCAATGATTAATACCGACCTTTTAACTACCTGAGTTACAGTTATTTATGTATCAATTATATTAGGTCTATAAAGGTCTTAATTAGCGAAGGCGTGAATGAAAAAAAAAGAATTATAAAAAATACCTTCAGTAGCTGGGACAGAAAAATAGTGTAGCAGGGGATGTCGATGAAACTATTTTCTTGTAAAAATATTATATCTGACATTAATGATCTAAATAAATTATTAGAGTAGTTAGATGAGTGTCCACTTTCATTTTATATTATTACTCAAAATCTCTATTGTATTTTATGGTTGTTACCTTTAAAAGGTAGCAATTTGTTACAAAACCATATAATTATACACCACTGTAATCACAAAACTTTAATCTTTGTCGGCATTGTAACGGAATTTTAAATTAATTCTTTATTTTCGAGAAAATTTAGTCCAAACATGAGGCATATTATCCAACTTCCAGTGGATGACATACCAAGAATTTACAACTTTGAGAAACACCTCACTGTAGTATTGAGTAATAAAAAGGATTGGGAAGAAAAAGAAACGCTTACTCAGCATATAAAAGACCATACCATCACATGGTATACTGATGCTTCCAAAACCAAAGCAGGGACAGGGATAGGAGTATTTGGGCCGAAAACTAAATACTCCGAACCAATGGGCACCTACCCCAGTATCCTTCAGGCAGAAATTTACGCTATCGAAAGATGCGTACAATTTATCTTAGATAAGAACTATCGAAAACAGGAAATTGCCATCCTATCCGGTAGTCAAGCAGCACTTAACGCGATCAACTCAGTAACCATCAATTCGAAGTTGGTCAAAAAATGCCTAGAGAAGCTCAACAAATTAGGCAAAGAAAATAAAGTCCACCTACTCTGGCTGCCTGCTTACTAAGAGATAGAAGGCAATGAAAAAGCTAATGATCTAGCTAGGAAAGGAGCGAACACTCCTCTAACTGGACCAGAACCGTTCTATTTTCCAAACGGGAACCAACTGAAAGCGGAACTGAAAAATCTGGAAGACTCCATCCGTAACTTGGAATGGGTGTCCTCCAACGGTCTAAGACACTCGAAAAAGTTCCTCAGAACTTACGACCGAGAAAAATCAAAGATTTTCCTTGATTTAAGTAAAAACAATCTTGGGAAAAGACACTGTCTCCTCAACGAACACCTCAGTAGGCTGAAGCTGAGAAACAACCGCGAATGCAGATTCTGTGGGGAAAATGGGGAAACACCAGAACACCTTATCACTGAATGCGCCGAGACGACGACCTTTCGTGCCATGAACTTTGGTACGTCTGATGTCGAGGATGGGGAGCTGGCCTCTGTGGAGCCGTCTCAGATACTGGCTTTTGTTAAAGCCCTGAGACTGTATGATGAGTTATAATTCGTTATAACTCAAGAAAGGGGAACACACAATAGATCTATAAGGTCGCGGTGATTAACTCCCCTCCTAAACATTCTACATTTTACGAGGCATATTTTGTTGATGTTTGACCATCAAAATTTTGAAAATAAAGAAGTTATCTAAAAATGTGTTACAATATCGACATAGTATAATCCTTTATCTTTAATTTCCTTCTTCATTTGTGTAAAAATACCTAGCCAGTTTTACATAAAATGTTAAATGCCGAACGTTTATTTTGCTACTTTTTTGGAGTAGTGAAATGGAGTCTTAATTCCCGTTAATAATGTTCCAAGGGAGTTATAACTTTTTATAACCAAGACGATATAAGCTTTTATTAATTCAGTATGAAATAAATATGGATTTTTTGGAGAGATGAATTCGCCAAATAGATATACACATTTTTTTACGAAATAAATAATCAAACTGTTTTAGAAATAGTTAGATTTAGCCATTTTCTCTTATTACTTTTGTTTTTTTAGCTTCTAACTAGCGTTTTTTGTTTCTTTTTGTGCTGCCTACTATCTTTAATATGCTTTTCATGACATTTGCTAAAGCACCTTATAATTCTTTTTCTAAACTTTCTCTTAGAATTTTTTTTAATTCATGATTTATGCCTTTATCGCGGAAGAGTTGGGGTATAGCAAAGGAATCAGCATTGTATGCATTCTTACATACAACTCGCGATAACATGCAAGTCTCTGCCGGCAAGGTTGACATTGATTTATAGTCAAACTTATGCTTAGGGTACAGTTCAGCGGAGTTTTGAACTCCTATATTAATTAAAACAACATACAGCTCCTGGTTTGAGGAAAAGAATGTGTTTCGACTATAAAAAATTGTACAGGGTGTCCAAATTTAAGCCGCATCATTGGGATATTTAAGACGATTCATATCTGTAATAAAAATCCAGGACCACATAAAAAATACCTTAATAAAAAACGACTATCCACGATCTTTTATTGACAAAACATTAAACGAAATACTAACTCCAAATCACAGCCGCAATAAATACAATGATAACAATACACAATAAAAAAACTTACAATTCCATACATGCGAGGCGTTTCGGAAAAAGTAAGTAGGATAGGAAAACAATATAACATACGAACATCCTTCAACACATTAAATACACTTAGATCCATTTTAACCCATACTAAACCAACAACTGGACAACAAAAAAAATATACAAAATACCACGTGAATGTGATAAATTTTACATTGGTGAACATCTAGACCCTTAAATGTTCGAATTAAAGAACATAAAGATTATTCAAGAAAGGGATATTTTCACAAATCTAAGATTTGTCAGCATTCATGGGACACAGGGCACAGAATAAATTTTAATAACGCCAAAATTATAATGAAAGAAGCGATCGCCTCTAAAAGAAAAATAAAAGAGGCTTTTTTAATACAATCTAATAAAAATAAATGTATTGCTCATGCATCTGTAGATGTTAGTAATGTAATCGTTTCTTTGATTTTAAAGAACATAACATAAATAAACATAGCATACGTAAAAATTAAAAATAATCATACAGAAAGTTTGGGGCTTTTTGGTTTTACCTTATTAAGTAATTGTTATCAGTTTCAATAGTTTTATTCTTTGTTCTTTATGTTCTTTTTTGCTTTGTGTTCTTTTTTCCCGAAACGTTAAGCATTTTTGTGTCCATTAGGCAATATTGTTTATTAGTAAACCACTGCTGGCAATTAGTCTCTGTTGGGTTAACGCACCAGTGTTTACAAAAAATAACTATTTTATTTGGTAGATTTTTTTACAGTGGCGAATTTGTATTGGGAAGGAAAATTTGGAAAGCGCCGATGCGGAAATGTATTTGGCGACGAATCGCGATGAAATATACGCGGAATTCGATAACTAAACAACAACGAGCGGCGATAGAGTTGTAGAGTTTGTCTAATTTGCATAATAGACTGTATGCAGTTTAAAGAGCAAGCAATCGAACCAGATTGGATTTAGCTTCGATTCGAAATTGACAGTTGATTGATTTTGCGTGACTTTTAATTGAAAAATCTTCCCTCTTTTTGCATCAGGCGATTTAGTTTTAAAATTAAAAAAAAACAACGTATTTCTTTATTTCTTCAGAGTCTATTACACTGTACTGTTCGGTGCTCTCAGCGGTCGGGTAACCGAAGGAACTTAGAGATGAAACGGATATCCGGCAACCATCCGGTATCCGGCCTATCCGGCCTAAATTTATTATCCGGCCGGATACCGAATAGTAACTCACTATCCGGCCTTCTTCTTAAGGTGCCGTGCAGATTCCTGCGTAGGTGTTCATCTTTTTCTTCCTCATCAGATGGTTCTGTTAACTGCCGCGACTTGGAGTGCTTGGAAGTCCTGTATGCCTGTCCAATGACGAATATTTCTCAGCCAGGATAGCTTCCTTCGGCCTATCCCCCGTTTGCCCCCCTCTATTTTACCCTGGAGAATCAGACGCTGAAAGTGATAGCGTTCTCCACTTAGTATGTGTCCCAAATAGGCTATTTTCCTCTTCTTGATGATTTCGAAGAGTTCACGTTGTTCCAGACCAGCTCTTCTGAGAATGTCTTCATTCCTCACACGGTCGACCCAGGGCACCGTCGTAAGGTCCACATTTCGAAGGCTTCAATTCCATGGTACAAAGAATACAAGGTATGATCGATAGCGGCTCCAATTTCGTTCAGTTCGCGCATACCACCTGTGACGTCACTAGGAAAATAATGAATAAATAAAAAATAAAGAAAGTTGACAGGATATCTGCATTTTTTGGGGTTATGGTTAAAAATTGGTTATTTTTAAGACTTTTTAGTTCGTTTAATTTAATAATTACTAAAACCAGCAGTTTCAAAAATATATTTAAAAATAATAATTATCTATTAACATGGATTTGGACCATAATAGGTAAGAATACTAAATTTACTTCTATATTCGGTATAAAATTGTTTATTAGGTTTTTAGTTTGCGATGTTTATGGTAAATAATTTTTATGTTCATTGCCTCTGAATTCACATGAGGACAGAGATGAGGATATCTATGGAAAAGTAACCACAAGAGGAATTGTTACATCATTTAAAAAATGTTGGGAATTATATT